GATGAAATGCATAAACCATAACGCACAGGGTTATGGTTTTTTTTTAAGTTACAAGCACACATTTGGAAACTTCTGAACAAACTACGATTAGATGTAGAACTATTTAAATAACTCTTCTGTCGTCCGTCCCACCCCCTGCATATTTAACAAGCTTGGAAATTCTTTGGTGGCATCAACGCACATCTGCAACTTGTGTGTCCTGGATATCTGCATAAGAGGAGAGGGAAGCTGTGAATCCCTTCAGGAAAAGCAGCCCATGGCAGACATAGAAAAAGGGATGGAGATGCATGGGAGAAAACAGCGAACAGGAAGAAGAGGTAAGCAACAGTGACAGAACAGAAAGTTTGGTCTTCATTTACTAAAAAAAATATAAGGGGAGTATCAAAACCAGACAAAGATTAAAGCCTTTAAAGTATAGTATTTCTCAGCATCAAAATTCTAATCTAAGAAAGTATGAATTAACAGAACTTTGGTGCATGTGTAACATAGTGCCGGAAATTTATTTTCAGGCCAGATTTCTTTCACCTGTAAACTGAAAAAACAGCAAATCAACAACAAACTGTCACTGTGACTATTCATTGGAATCATTCTATAGCCAACATACCCAGAAGATGGAAACTGTTTAAAAACTTGTTAAATATCCCTGAAACAATGTTCTGCATTACTTATATTTTATATAGATATACATACAGTGCTGATTTCATAAGTCTGAACAAACAGGATTTCCACCAGATAAACATTTACAAATTTATAACTCACCAGTTCCTGATCTAAGGCACTAGGTACAGATTTGCTTCTTATGCTCAGAGTATCCTCATTTCCTTCAGAGAAAGATTCACTCAAATCTATCTCAGACCGGCTACGATCTGGAAAATAAAAACAATTAAATGTTTGCTATAATTGGTACAAAAAGTATTCTGTTTCATTTTCCACGCTTTAATAAGTGTTGTCTCAAGTCTAATAGTTTTTTTAAGAAAAAAAAATAAAAACAATATTTAGGTATCTGCCACAAATGCTATGACAACTGGACGTCAGTATGATACAGGGAAGGATATGCTTTCTCATGCCGTTCAGTCTTCTGGCCAATACCTTTCCCCCTGCACTACGTATCTGCTGTCATTGTCTCCTGTGGATGATACTATAGATTAAGCGTTTGACTTTCTCTGGTAGGCCTATCAGCCTGCAATATCGCAAAACTTGCAGTCCAGGTGTTCACAGTGATTATCACATCTACCACCACCACCAACCCCTCCCCAGCATCTGCTTCAGAATTAAGCAAGTAGGGATACTGACAGATTTAGAAAGTACTTCTGCCACTACTGGTGTTCCCTGTGCAGAAAGGAGGACAAAGCAAACTGGCTGGATGGCCGAGCCCAGAGAGT